ACTGCCAACTTCTTAGCCATTTCAATGATACTCTACTCATGTAGAAAGTACACAAGCTGACCTACATTTCACAAAGCACTTGGCTAAGAGCCCCTGACGCATCCCTTCAAACTTCCCACTGAGTACTCCTGAACACATAGAAGAGGATGAAGTTGGAATTGGCAGATTCTGGGAGGAACATGAACTCTATAGAAATAACCAAACTTGCCAAACTAAGCTTTCTCTCTGTTTCAGCTAGATTTGTACTTATTCCTGTTTTTCTCCACTAACTTGAGAAGTCCAAGTGACTGGAAGAGCACAAAGCCTTAGCAGTGGTTGTCTTCATCTTTTTCTCTATTTTGCAGATTTTATGTGAGGAGCCTCATGTTGCTTTATAATGGAAAAATAGACTTTATTCAAAAGTAAAAATCTAGTTTCATTAGTGAATGGAATTATTAGGTGCAAATATTTCTGCTTATGAATGATATGAACCCTCTTTTTTTCTAAGACCTGATTTTATATAAATCATATCCAGTGTGGTTGGTGTTATTGACCCACTTGAGGTATATCTTCTCTTTCCAGAAGTTTCCGTTGATAGGTACATTTTTTTTTTTTTGCCATGTTGTAACAGAGAAGAGTTTAATACTTATTCAGGCATGAAATATCTACTGAGTGCCTACCCTGTGCTAGCTGCTGAGAGTACAGTGAGTAACTGAGGCATAGTCTCTGTTCTTAGGAAGTTTAAAACTTATTTGAAAACTGTTGAAAAAAGCTGCCAAAGGCTCGGTGGGTGGGAACCTACAGTACAAGCATCCAGCCTGGTCAAGAGGAACAAGAAAGGTGTTCAGAGGAAGAATAGTATCAGAGTTAGCCAGAGGAGAGGTAAGCATTTGCCCTACAGAGTTGGACTAACCTATTTAAAAATCTGGAGGTGAGCTCTGTTGGGGAACCAGAAATAGGCAAATACACTGACAATAGAGTTTGATGTTGGTGAGTGACAAGTGACAAAGGCTGGAATCAGTAGCTAGGTCATGAAAGACCTTGTAAACCAAGTAAAGGCATTCAAATTTTGTCCTATAGGTAATGGAAAGCCATCAGAGGGTGTATTAGTTCCCTAAGGTTACCATGACAAATTACCACCAACTTGATGGCTTAAAACAACAAATTTATTCTCTCAGAGTTTTAGAGACCAGAAGTCCAAAACCAGGTGTCAGCAGGGTTGGTTCCTCTGGAATCTCTGAGGGAGAATCTGCTTCGTGACTGTCTCCTAGATTCTGGTGGCTGCTGGCAACTCTTGGCATCCCTCAGCCATAGGCTTCATAACTCCAGTCTCTGCCCCATATTCACACCTCTTTCTCCTGTGTCTTCTTCTCCCCCACCCCACCCCCAGTATCTTATAGTGATACTTATTGAAATTGGGGCCCACTCTAATCCAGGATGATCCCATCTTAAGATCCTACCCTGATTGCCTATGCAAAGAACTTGATTTCAAATAAGGTCACATTCTGAGATTCAGGGTGGACATGTCTTTTGGGGGACCATGATTTAGTCCACTACGGAGGGTTTTAGGAGAGAGCAGTTGAACAAGTCAGACTTGTATTTCAGAAGATCACTCTGGCTACTGTGTGGAGAAGGGACTTGAGGGGATAAGGCTGGGCCCATGGAGACCAGTGGGAGTCTGGGTAAAGGATGCTAGTGGCTTTGATGGTAAGGAAGTGGAGATGAGTGTAGGAAATGCTCTGAAGGTGGTTGGTTTCGAAGGGGAAAAGAGAGAGGGCTATGGTTGAGGAGCACATAGTGGTCAGGAAGGGCTTTTAAAGGAAGGGAGATACTTGGTGCATTTTTAATGAAGATGAGAAAGATGGTGTATCTCCAAGGGAAAGAAGTTGAAAATACAGAAGTGAGGGGCAAAAAAAGCAGAGATAATTGTTTTGATGAAAGGGGCGGGGGGAGCGAGATGGGTCCAAACACAGAATGTGTATAAAGCAGCACATGCATCCCATATTGGACTGCTCCTACATAGTGTGACAGGTCTGTAAAGATGATGATGGTGATGCTGAGGGAGGTGGTTACTCCTGTTTGAGAACTCTCTATGTGCCAGATTCCAGACTATTTTCCCTGTGCTACCTCATTTATTCTTGGATATAGCTATATTTATTATCTCCTTTCATTGCTTAGGAACCAGAAGCACAGAGAGGTTAAATAACTTACCCAAGGCCACACAGATAATAAGTGATAGAGTACAGTTTTCTTCCAGGCAGTGTGACTGCTGAAGCCATACCAGTGAGCACCGCTGTCTATGCTGCCTTGGAAGGTCGAGGGAATAATCGTTATGTGCACACTTTTTTTTTCATGGTATATGTTGGTTTTGGTAGCAGGCACTATTATTTTTACAGACCACAAAGCTATTATCTTATCTCTGATTTTTTGTTTCATTTGTTCTTTTATTGGCTTGCCACTAGATAGATTTAGTTTTATTTATCTTTTCATGGAGTTAGGACTGGTTGGATTCATCCTTTTTCTAGTTATCTGGATGGTAGGGCAAGGTGAATATTATTCTTTCATATTATTAATGTGCATATTAAATCTTCCCAAGGGTTAAAGCTGCTCTTAGGAGATTCATTTTCATAAGCTTTTACATATACCCAACTTCCTTGAATAACTCCTATTGACACTTGTTTTGTAATCACTTTCTCTATGCTACTTGATGTCTGGATTTAATTTTTTTAAATTGATTTTTTGTAGAGAGGAAGGGATATATATATATATATAAGAATATATATATATATCCTATATAATAAAAGGGTAATATGCAAATTGACCCCAACAGCAGAGCGACTGGGAATCACTGGTCACTATGACACACACTGACCACCAGGGGGCAGACGCTCAATGCAGGAGCTGCCCCCTGGTGGTCAGTGCGCTCCCACAGGGGGAGCTCTGCTCAGCCACAAGCCAGGCTGATGGCTGCCAGTACAGCAGTGGTGGTGGGAGCCTCTCCTGCCTCCTCAGCAGTGCTATGAATGTCTGACTGCAGCTAGGCCTGCTCCCTGCTGGCAAGTGGACATCCCCCGAGGGCTCTCAGGCTGCCAGAGGGATGTCTGACTGCCAGCTTAGGCCCAATCCCCTGGGGAGTGGGCCTAAGCCAGCAGGTGGTCATCCCCTGAGGGGTCCCAGACTGTGAGAGGGCACAGGCTGGGCTGAGGGACCCTCCTGAGTGCACAAATATTTGTGCACTGGGCCTCTAGTGTGTGTGTGTGTGTGTGTGTGTGTGTGTATATATATATATAGAGAGAGAGAGAGGGAAATATCAATCCACTGCCTCCCTTACATGCTCCGACCGGGGAATCGAACCTGCAACCTGAGCATTTGCCCTGACAGGGGAATTGAGTCTGCCACTTTTTGGTGTACAGGATGATGCTCCAACCAACTGAGCCATACTGGCCAGGGCGATGTCTGGTTTTCTTTACTGAATGTTGTCTAGGCTCAAATGTCATTTCCTTAGTGGAGTCTTTCTTCAGCCCCAAACTAGCTCTGGTCTCTCTGTTATATATGTCACATAGCTGAATACAGTGGCTGAGAATCTAAGGCATACTGGATAACACTTAATCAGGGTTATTTAATGCTTAGGATTTTTTTTTAATAAGGAGAAAGAGGATGATAGAATTTCATATTTCAAAATTCTAAAATATTAGCAGTCAAATATAATTCTAATTTCTATGGATAGCATGGGTTAGAAATTTTCTTGTCACCATAGATAATCATCATAGTCATATTGCATAGTTGGATTTGCAAACATATATCCAGGAAATGACTTTTGTTCTAATCACTAATATTGATGGATGTATACGTCTGAAAGTTTATCCTAAGTGATTATTTTTATTTTTTAAAATATATTTTTATTGATTTCAGAGAGGAAAGGTGAGGGAGAGAGAGATAGAAACATCAATGATGAGAGACTCACCCCTCCTTTCCGACAGTGAGCCAGAAGGAGATGGAGGAAAACCATAGGAATGTTGAGTAGCTCACCGCCCACCCTCAAAAGAATCACCCACTGCATTTGTGCTCTGGAATTTACACTGTTATTGATAAATGAATTTCCTTTCTATGACTTATTTCTTTGTATTCCCTTTGTGTGTGTGTGTTTTCTTTTTAGATTAAAAAGTCCTTTAAATAAAAGGTTTAAAAAACACTATACACACACACACACACACACACATACTAGAGGCCCAGTGCACAAAATTTGTGCACGGGTAGGGTCCCTAGCAGCTGTCGGCTGCTGGCTGGGACCCCCCTTTCCCCTCCCCTCCCATTAAAAAAAAGAAAAAAGAAAAAGAAACATCAATGATGAGAGAGAACCATTGATCGGCTCCGGCACGTCCCACACTGCGGATCGAGCCCACCATCCAAGCATGTGCCCTGACCAGGAATCGAACCTTGACCTCCTGGTTCATAGGTTGATACTCAACCACTGAGCCATGCTGGCTGGGTCCAAGTGATTATTTTTTAAGCTTAGGCAGCTGTATTATTAAGAGACTTGCTTTTGTGACACTGGTCAACCATTTACAGCTCAGTACATTTGATGGATATTGCCTTTATAGTTTGCATGCTTGAAGTTGAATATTAGGCTGAGGACAGGAGTGACAAGAGGTGTATTCCAGGGAGAAGAAACCACATGTGCAAAGGTATGGAGGTCTGTCATCTGAGGAGCCATCCTTGCAGAATGTACCTGGCAGTGGTCCTTATCCTTCTTCCTGTATACAGTCCTGGGGATGCCAGCCAGTCAGGACTTGTAGAGTATTTGCCACACTCATTAGTAAACATAACAATTCTGAGTGAATCTGATCATGTGTTAGAACTAAAAGCTGGAGCACTTCATTGTGATGATATTTTTTCCTTTGTGTTCTCTTGCCAGTTCCTCTTGAAGCCATTGGCTTCTTGTCTGCAGTTGGGATCTTTATCATGCTTCTGGCCATCCTGTTCCTCTTCATCAGCAAGAAGCTGTGTTTTGAAAAGATAGTTCTTCCATGCTTGGAGCAACAAGGGAAGAGAAAGCACTCTAAAGACCAGACTGGGATCCACGAAGGGCTGGGTAAGCAACACGCTTCACATTCTCCTGAGCCTGGCAACTGGCTGTGGTTTGGGTCAGGGGAGGAGGGTCGCCATTTCCAGGATGAGCCCCATTAAGAAATCGCACATGAGCCGTTTGGCCGCCACTGTGGTGGACATGATGAATGGATGTTACTAAAGGATACATTAACTTTATGAAAGTAATGCTCTCCTTCGAGCCTGAAGAGCAGATGGGAGAAACCTGACCACCACTTCCTGTCTTCTTAGCTTTTTAGATGTCTGTGTTGAGTTTCCCTCTGACTGAAGCTTGAAGGAAAAAATGTTTTTTGATTGACAAGAGCCTTGATGTGTTTTGGTCTCATTGGGTTGGAACAGAGTTGACATTTCCCTCCAGTTCGCTATTTCTGAGATTTTTGGTGCTCAGGACCACTCCTCACTTCAAAGGGAGGTTTCTACTCATTAAGTTCACTGAATCTACTGCATCATTTACTAGCAGCCTTCAGTTTGATGGGAGAGAATAACATAGTTAAAGAAATAATTGGCTTCCTACTCTTAAAGGACATGTTCTGTTTTCAATTGCTGAAGTGTAGAACTTTGTTATATAGGGTGTTATCACAGAGTAATGGTTATCAGCACATGCACGCTGGACATTCAAAGATAGTGCTGTTATCTTATAGGTAACAATTTTCTTTTTATATCAGTCTGATTCTTACAGGGTATGGGGCATGATGTAACTGGTGGAGGAATAATCTTTATATATATAATTTTTCTTATTATATATATATGTTTTTTGTTTGTTTTGTTTTTTTAATCCTCACCCAAGGATATTTCCCCATTGATTTCTAGAGATAGGGGAAGGGAGAGGAGAGACAGAGAGAGAGAGAAACATTGATGTGAGAAAGACACATTGATTGGTTGCCTCTTGCACGTGCCCCTACCAGGGCCAGGGATTGAGCTTGCAAACGAGGTACATTATTTTTTTGATCAGGGGCAAAATCTTGAGGGGAATATTACAGTCATCTCACTTCCTGGGTATGTTCTAAGTAAACCTGGACCAAGGAGAATATTTGGTTTATGGATATGGCAACTTTCGTAGCCATTGATACTTCAGCTTTTTGCTTTGTTATAAGAAAAGACATAATTTAGGCATAAATGTGTATTCATTATTTATTGCTTCATAACAAATTACTCCCAAACCTGAAAGCTTAAAAAAAAATTCATTATCTCTCAGTTTCTGAAGTTCAGGGATTGGGGATCACCTTAGTTGGGTGGTTCTAAATTGATATTTTTCATGAGGCTGCAGTTGGAATTTCTCCTGCAGTCATCTGGAGGCTCAACTGGGACTGGTGGACTCACTTCCAGGATGGCAGGAAGCTCCAGTTCCTGCCCACGTGGACCGCTCCACAGGGCTGCTGGGATGTAGTTATGACATGCAGCTGGCTTCCCCCACAGTGAGCCCTGCAAGAGAGGAGAGCAAGGAAGAAGTCACAGTTCCTTTTATGACCTGGTCTGGGAAGTCAGACATTGTCACTCCTACCACATTCTATTCATTCACTAAATACAGCCTACAATCAGGGGAAGGGGAATTAGGCTCCACTTTTGAAAGGAAGAGTATCAAAGAGCATGTGGACATATTAAAAAATTGCCATAGGGGACAATTACGGGAGGGGTGTAAGTCGAAGATCTGGTCATCGATTTGGCATCATTTTGAACTTTACCTGGGACGTCTGACTCATCTTCTGAAAATAGACTGGAATACTTTAGAGTCTGTCATGTGAAAATGGGACTTGCAAACGGTTTAGCCACTACTGTCCCATCTGGACAGGAGGATGAATAGACTTCTTTTTTGGTCATGAGGTGGCATGGAGATAGGATTCTAGTGATTCTACTTTTCTTCCTGCAGCAGCTCCCTGTCACTGGTTGTGGTTCCTTGGAAAATTATGGAACCTTTCCAAACTTCAGTTTTCTTATCTGCATATTGGGATTATTAATATAGCCCTTTTAGAGTTGATATAGATAAATGAACCAATTTTGTATAGATACCAGCATGATGCTATGGTGAAAGTCCTAATAGAGCTTTACCCATAGCTGTGCAGCATTAACAAAATACCAGTCACAGTAATGGCTTCTAGGAATGACGTCACATGAAACACTATTTAAATTGGGAGGTTAAAGTTGGTGATGTTTTCTCCTTTGCAAGCTATTATGGCTACAGATAACTAAGGTTAGAGCTATTTAAGACATTTGCCTTTTGTCTTGTTTGGCATGTTATAGTATTTTAAAGACAATTATGAATTATACTTGCAAATAAATTGAGGGTTGAAGGTAATGTTGAAACAATAACAATAAACCACGACTCAGAAGCTGTTAGCTCAGGAAACACTGAAAAATCCATGTCTGAAAACTCAGAGTAGCGTCATAAAGGGGGCTTTAAAAAGAGTTTCACCAGGAGAATCTCCAGATTATAAGAAGCAAACACCTTCATTATGATTGACATTTCTCCTCTTAAAAGTTTAATTATCATTGATCAAAAGTCTTTGCAAAACATGCTTCTAACTTTTGATATTTGCCTTCATCCTCAGAGCACTTATTTCTCATATGATGTTCTTAACATATTTTGAGAAATGTCAAGAAGGAAGGCAGGCAGCCTGATGTGGTGGAGAGAAGTGCAGTGCAGACAGCCAGGGCTTAGCTCTGCCACTAATTGGCCGTGATATTTAGGGCCTTAAGTCCTCATTTGCAAATCGATGAGTCTGTCTAGGCTTCTCCCAATTCCCATCATGCAATCCTATTTGATTCTTAGGGTTACTATAGAAATTTCTTCTCCAGGTCTCAGTTTATAAATGAAAGAGGCCTAATAAAAATAATTTAAAAATCTTAGATTGAACCATATAAAATTGCCATTTTTATAGATAAAAACTGGCTGACTATCAGAAACCTAATCATTATAATCTTACGAGATGAGGCCTGGTGCACAAAATTTGTGCACTGGGTGTGGCAGTTCCTCAGCCTGGCATGCGCCCTCTCACAGTCTGGGAGCCCTGGGGGATGTCTGACTGATGGCAGTTGGACATCCTTAGTGCTGCCTTAGAGGTGGGAGTGGTTCCCGCCACCGCCACTGTACTCACCAGCCGTGAGCCCGGCTTCTGGCATTTGCCCTGACCAGCGACCTCCTGGTGTATGGGAGGATTCTCCATCTAACTGAGCCATGCTGGCTGGGCTCAGATGAATTTTAAGTGGACCAAATATTTTGGAATAAAAAAAGGCTTAATTTTATGCTCCTTTTTTCCCTCCTAATAGGATGACTAAAATCTGTAAGTGCCACTGAAATGCTATTTATACAATTTGCAAACTTTTGGATTGCACAATAGTTTGTTTTAGAGTTGTAGACTGAGTAGTCTTTAGAAAGTTGAAATCTTCTACCCCCTACCTTTTCCCTACTTTGTATTTTTTTGTCGTGAAATAGTAGTGACCCTTCCCGAATGTCTCATATGAAAAACAAGATCCAACTTGAGGGGTGGTACCTAGAGTGGAGACACATTTGTTAATACTCTATGTTGAAAAGCATTTGCTCTTCTGATTTTAATGCTTAATTTGCATAGAAAACACATTTGTCTACCTATATATTATATTAGGTTGAATTCTATGAAATCACTGTTTTTATAGGTTAGAAGTTTCATATGGTTCGACCTATTACATGAGATGAAAACTGAGAATTGAAGAACTATAAAAAGTTGTTTGAGTAACAGGACAAGCCTTGATATATCTCATTGTGCTGTCCAGTTACTTGTTCTGATGACTTGCTTAAGATATAAATAATTGAGAATACTTTCAGTGGGGCCTATCGAAGTATGACTAATTGAACCTAGTTTGATGAGTACAAATTTCAAAGAACTCAGTGGGAAGTTACTGGTTTGAGAATATTCATTTATCCACTCAGTATTATTTATTGAGAATCTGTGTTATGCTACATAGTGTATGAAATGCTGGAAATATGGATGAAGACAAACAAAAACAAAACTGAAAGAAAAGAGGCAAGTGAAGTAGTTCTAGGTTGCTATAAATGCTACGAGGACCTAAATTAAAGTCTAATTGACAGAATGGGGAGATTTACCTTGGAGAAGTTTGAGCACATTTTGCTCATTGCTGGCAATATATAGAGAGATACACATACACATATATTATATTGGTTCTGTTTCTCTTAGAGAACAGTTACCAATACAGTTCCCAATGGCCACTATAGCATTTTAGTTATCCTACCATGTATATATGGAGAGAGAGACATAGAGGGGGGTGGAGGGAAAGAGGGAAGGAGGAGGATTATTTTAAGATATTAGTTTACTAGAAGCCTGTTGCATGAAGATTCGTGCAATAGGCCTTCCTTCCCCTGGCTGCTGCCACCGGTTTTCCTCCGGCATCTGGGACCCAGGCTTTTGGTCCGGCCGCAGCAGAGAAGCCAAGCCTCTTCAGTCTTCAGTCTTCAGTCTTCACTCTGGCCGGAGCCTTCAGTCTTCGCTCCATGCTTCTGTATGCAAATTAACCTCCATCTTTATTGGGTTAATTTGCATAGTCGCTCTGATTGGCTGGTGGGTGTAGTGGAGTGACACCAATTTGCATGTTTCTCTTTTATTAGTGTAGATATGATTATGGAGGCTGCCAAGTCCAAAATCTACAGGGTAGGTCAATAGGCTAGAGAGCACGGAAAACCTAATGTTTCAGTTTAAGTCTGAAGGTCATTTGCCGACAGAAGTTCATCTTGCTCAGTGTAGGCCAGTCTTTGTTCTATTAGTCTTCAACTGATTGGATAAGGCCCACCCACATAATGGAGGGTAATCTGCTTTTCACAAAGTATACCATTTTAAATGTTAATCTCATCCACTAAAAACACTCTCACAGAATTCTCCAGAGCAATGTTTGATAAAATATCTGGGCTCTGTGGCCACCTTGACATCTTAAATCCACTACAGGAGGAGCTTACTTAACATCTGTGTTTGTGTTCTTATTTCCTTCAGTGTATTTTGG